TGCTCAGGCGGCTGGAAAATCCCTCCGTCCTTCGCTGAAAATTCCACTGGAGGTTCTTCTGCTTCAGAGCTGAATTCCTGCCCAAATCCTCTCTGGAATTCCAGCCCTTCCCAGGATGGAATCTGCAGGGTTCTCCATCTCCTCACCTTCAGCACCATCCTTGACTGGGATTTCATCCCGGTTTTTGTGGCCGTGAAGGATTTTGGGATTTCGCTGTAAGTGCCACTGGAGGTTCTTCTGCCTCCGAGCTGAATTCCTGCCCAAATCCTCTCTGGAATTCCAGCCCTTCCCAGGATGGAGCCTCCAGGGTTCTTCACCTCCTCACCTGCAGCACCACCCTGGAGCATCTGGGATTTCATCCGTGTTTTTGTGGCCGTGAAGGATTTTGGGATTTCGCTGTAAGTGCCATTGGAGGTTCTTCTGCCTCAGATGAATTCCTGCCCAAATCCTCTCTGGAATTCCAGCCCTTCCCAGGATGGAGCCTCCAGGGTTCTCCATCTCCTCACCTTCAGCATCATCCTTGACTGGGATTTCATCCCGGTTTTTGTGGCCGTGAAGGATTTTGGGATTTCGCTGTAAGTGCCACTGGAGGTTCTTCTGCCTCAGATGAATTCCTGCCCAAATCCTCTTTGGAATTCCAGCCCTTCCCAGGATGGAGCCTCCAGGGTTCTCCATCTCCTCACCTGCAGCACCACCCTGGAGCATCTGGGATTTCATCCGTGTTTTTGTGGCCGTGAAGGATTTTGGGATTTCCTGCTTCTGCCTCCTTGACTTTGGCCTGAGCCCGGCGGTGATCCTGCCTTCAAACCCTGGAATCATGGAACGCTTTGGGTGGGAAGGGACCTTAAAGCTCATCCAGTTCCAACCCCGACGCCTTCCACCACCCCAGGGTGCTCCAAGCGTCCAACCTGGCCTTGGACACTTCCAGGGACGTTGAATCCAGGAGGTTTCGGGAACCACAGGAGGGTTTGGGATGGGATCGACCTTCGGGATCGTCTCTTCCCAACCCGCTGAGAAGATGCCAAGTGCCGGGTCGAAATCCTTCCCTGGGAAGGTGGTGAGGCCTGGGATGGAATTCCCAGAGGAGCTGTGGCTGCTTCTGGATCCCTGGAGGTGTCCCATAAATTCCATCCATGAATTCCATCCATGAATTCCATCCATAATTCCTCTATGAATTCCATCCATAAATTCCATCCATGAATTCCATCTATGAATTCCATCCATAAATTCCATCCATAATTCCTCTATGAATTCCATCCATAAATTCCACCTATGAATTCCATCCATAAATCCCATCTATAAATTCCATCTATGAATTCCATCCATAAATTCCATCTATGAATTCCATCCATAAATTCCATCTATAAATTCCACTCATAAATTTTATCTATGAATTCCATCCATAAATTCCATCCATGAATTCCATCTATGAATTTCATCCATAAATTCCACCTATGAATTCCATCCATAAATCCCATCTATAAATTCCATCCATGAATTCCATCTATAAATTCCATCCATAAATTCCATCTATGAATTTCATCCATAAATTCCATCTATAAATTCCATCCATAAATTCCATCTATAAATTCCATCCATGAATTCCATCCATGAATTCCATCTATGAATTCCATCCATGAATTCCATCCATAAATTCCATCCATAATTCCTCTATGAATTCCATCCATAATTCCTCTATGAATTCCATCCATAAATTCCATCTATGAATTTCATCCATAAATTCCATCTATGAATTCCATCCATAAATTCCATCTATAAATTCTGTCTATAAATTCCATCCATAAATTCCATCTATAAATTCTGTCTATAAATTCCATCCATAAATTCCATCCATAAATTCCATCTATGAATTCCATCCATAAATCCCATCTACAAATCCCATCTATAAATTCCATCTATAAATTCCGTCTATAAATTCCATCCATAAATTCCATCTATGAGATTTTTTACTTTTATTTTAATTTTTTAAAGTAAAAAATAATATATTTTATATATATTTATACATCGCGAGGAGTTTGTGTATCTGATACCTCCATATTTCTAACAGGGAACAAAAGCTCCAAGTTCTTATTCCATTTGTCATGACCACCTTAAGATTTTCGATTTTAAATTATTTTTTATTTTAGAATTTTAATATATTTATAAAAATATATAAATATATGTATACATATATAATAAATAAATAAATAAATAAATAAATAAATATATATATATATATATATACACACACACATATATATATATATACGCATACATATATCTCCATACTTTTAACAGGGAACAAAATAAACCAAATTTTTTTTTTTTTAAAAAGCAAATTATTTGGCAAAATAGCATTATTTAAATCAAACACTTGTTTGCTTTAAATAGGTAAATCAGAATTTTCCATATCTTGATGCTAGATTTTATGTATATTTATACATCATGAAGATTTTATATGGATTTTAGTTTTATTTTAGATTTATTTTAGATTTTAGATTTTAAAATATTTTTTATTTTAGAATTTTTATATATTTATAAATATATATAATTAGAAAGATATAATATAGATATAGTAT